TAAATATGTACAATTCTTCTTGAAAAATCTTTATAAACCTATTAAAATGCTGTGGTCTGGCACAATGATTGATATTGAAACAGGCATAGGATAAATAGTTCAGAATGATTTTCATCACAGAATTTTAAGTTTATTTAAAATGATCTATTGGTATCAAGTTCTAATACAATTTAGCAGTGTGGCACTGCTACATAATTTAAAATGTATTGAAATACATATGTGTACAGATAGATATTAGAATGTGTGCACTTGTTATACCTTTTTCGTGTTCATAACTTGTGAAATTTAGATATTTTGTGTTCGGTTCTTAATGACTATTTTATGTATTATAGAAATTATAGAGGATAATAATCTGTCATATTCAAATCACATTTCTATAATACCCAACAAGCAAAATCTTTCAGAATTAAAATATTGAACTTTTTTTTATCGCTATTACATTTATTGACAGATGTCTGACAGAAGATAGGAATATGGCAAAAGACAAAATACTGATAATACTGCAGCCTAAAATAATGTGAAGTTTCCAAGTTTGAATCCAAAGTATTTTAGAGGCAGTACATTGTTTTTTATTCATGATTATTCATAATAATAGTAGTAAAATAGTAAAATAGTAAAATTGGAGGTCATCTATGTATCATGTTGTACTAATGAACTCCATTGTTAAATTTTATCAGATATAACTCTGTGGAATATAGGTAGGAAAGAAACCTTTCTAAGTAAATAAAAAAGGGAGCCATGTGAATATGATTTCCTCTCATTAATCTTGAATCTTTTCCCAGTGAATCTGCCTGATTAGCTGTTCGTGCTTCTAATAATAGGATGGAAGGGGAAAAAAAAACTTCTTAAAATACATAATCTACCTATCATGAGTTTAGGTCTAATTCCCATTGTATGAATTGTTTCAGTAGTTTGAGAAGATTGGGGCTCCAACAATAGCTTGGAGACTCCTTTCCAGGCAACATAAAGGCTTCCTGAAAACTTATCAAGGTTATCATCAGTAATGGTAGATAATTTTCCTTGACTGACAGCTTATTCACTGCTATCAATCTTTTGCTGCTCTATACAGTTGAAAGGAGGAATTCAGGATGGCTTGAACATACAATACCAAGAGCCTGGCCACATGTTCTATCCTTCAATTTTTTTAAAAAAATGTACAGTGGTTTCTTGGCTCCCATGTTAATGCAAAAGGGATCTGTATAGATTGCTAACCTGTAATGCACATGTCTTGTTCTAGTCTAGGGTGTGTGTTTTTTTTAGTACTTTATCTTTCTCCCTGTTAAGGTACAGCTCTTTGCTTCTTAATACACCAACACAAATTGTGGTAGAGAATTCCTCTGTCAGCAATTAGCGGATTTTGTAGTACTCTTGGTAGCTCAAACTAGTCATTGAACTACAGTCTCAAATCTACCTGCAGCCTTTCCTAAGCATTCAGTAGGAAACCTGCCCAAGTACTTAACGGTGTTGTTATAAACCAATTAAGCTGGGTTAATCCCTTTGTCTTCAGTGTGGCAGTTTAAATGGTTTGTGGTCCTTGCTTTTTGTGCATTGTAAGATTTACAGCCCAATTGAAAACATACTGTGCCAGCAGATTAAGTGCATGGGGTGGGAGACTTATTGACTAGCTGTACCAGGAACACAGTACAAAACAAGACATCATGCTGGCATTGCAGGTAGATAAATGCAAATGTTCGGCATCAGGGTGCTGCAAACGTAAATCATTATGGTTGATAAGCATCTTTATTTCTAGCATTTGCTTTTTAATATTTAAATCTGCCCCCTTTTCTTTTTAAACGCATACAAATAATCCAGTGATTACAACCAACCTTACATTTAGCTTTTGTGGAACTTTGTGGAACACAGTATGTGAGTAGACTTAGGAGTTTTGGAGAAGTTCATTCAAAATTGATGTGACAGGAGATGTTAAAGAATACTGAGGTACTTGCTGTGTTGCATGTGAGATTCTCAAGAAAGAAAGAGAGGGCGGGAGAGAGAGAAAAAAAAGAGAAAGAGAGACAGGGAGGGAGGGAGGGAGAGAGAGAGAGAGAGAGAGACAGAGAGAGAGAGACAGAGAGAGAGAGATACGTGGAGAGGAAGCAAGACCTCCCTTGGATGAATCTTGGTCATCCAATTCCTCATTTTAGATAAAAGAAAACAAGTTAGAGAAACAAAACATGCTGAGCTTTCCATCCCCATTTTTATTTATTTCTTTGTTTCCTACTTTTATTCTTTTTACAAATAATTCAAGGTAGAGCATATAACCAACACGCCTTCCTTCTCCTAATTTCCCCACAACAACCCTATGAGGCGATTTGGGCTGAGAGAGAGTGGATGGCCCAAGTTTACCCAGCTGAATTTCATGGCTAAGGTGGGACTAGAACTCATGGTCTCCTGTTTTTTTAGCCAAGTGCAAACTAGCTAGAAAGACCAAGCTGGCTCTCTTCTCTCATTTTATCTGTGCAAGCAAGTAATGTGTTTGTGTACAATTGGGCCCACTTTTGAAATTGATCTTACTTTTGCTCTACTCCCTGCCCCCATTGCTGGAATAAGGTGAATAGTGGCTTTACTGAAATTTAATTTTACCTAAAGTCAAGTTTTACAGACAGCTTTTTTTTTGCTATGTTTTAGTCCCTATGAATCTTCATCTCTGCCAACATTCCTATCAAAAGTTCTTCTCCTCTGTCTCAGGCCTTTGTAAGTTGTTGTTTTATCTAAAACTAAAATGCTGTAGGCTTGTCATGCATGGTATCTTGCTCTGAGCTATTTGTCATTTACTTTTTAGTTTTCTCCAGCTACTAAAGCAGTGGTAGCCATAAGGGTTTCAGAAACTTCCTGTACTATGTATCCTTCAAATCTCTTTACTTCTTTTCTGTACTTAAAAGGGCTCTGGGCTGATCAATTCTTCTCTTTTTGCATATATTTTTCCAGATTCTCTTTAACATAATACTCTTGGTATGGATGGTGTGCTTATTTATTGTTGTTTTGTTTTGAGCTGCCTAGGATTATTGTGCATAACATTAGCAGTCAAACATATATAGGGTTTAGAAATAACAAAGCTACCTATCTCCATATTTTTAGTAACAATTTATTTAAACTTCAGTTTGCTTTTTTTTCCCCTTCACCCAGTATCAGTACTTTGCTGGTAGCAAAGGAAAACCAGTATTAATGCTACTAGATTTCGTCATGGCATTTGATACCCTCAATCTATTAGTTGAGAAACTCACTCAGGGACTTCGGTCCAGTTGCTTTCCCTCAACTCCACTTAATTCTCAGGGTTACTGTTAGGGCAGTGGTGGCGAACCTATGGCACGGGTGCCAGAGGCGGCATATGCACCGTCGCCTCAGTCCTAGGCCTTCAGCTGTTTTTTTATAAAATCTTTTCGCTTTAGGCCTCTGCTGCCGTGTGCAAAAAAAAAAAAAGGTTCAATCAGTCAATTTTAACATCTCGCAGGAAAAAAAAAGATTTTGCAAAGTTGGAATTGATTGATTGAACTTTTTAGTCCCACGCAGTCTGCCGTTACTGCCACAGCCACGCCCACCCAATGGGCCACACCCAACCAATGGGCCACATCCACCTGGCACCCGACGATGCATAAGTGGGTTTTGGGTTGCAGTTTGGGCACTCTGTATCTAAAAGGTTCGCCATCACTGTGTTAGAGGGACAAATAGGGGAGGGAGCTCAATGTTTGCCACTTTGGGTTTTAAAGGAAAGGCTGGATATAAGTAATAAATCAATAAATAATTCAATTATCCAATAGAAGAGAATATCTGTACCTCATCTGGGTTGAACTGCTCCATTCTTGGTGCTCTCTGACCTTGATTGTTTTCTTGCAGATGTTTCATTACCTGGCTAGGTAACATCATGAGTGCAAGGTTTGCTGGCTATTTACATAGAGAGATTTGCCCTGCTATTCTTGTGAGGATTCAGTGCTGCATTGGAGAGACATGTAACAACCCCCCCCCCCAAAAAAAATAAGTTACCCACTATCACTTTTTGATGGCAGTCTTGCAAATGGGAATGCAACCTCTGTAGAACAGTACCTCTTATTCCCAAATTACTAATAATTCCAGCAGTTTAACATGATCAGTGGTATCAAATGCTTCTGCATGATTATGCAGATAAACAACATATTGGAAGTACTGCCCAGCAGGCATCTGAGAGGTTTACAGTTCCTTCTTACCGTAAAAAGGCCAAAATACAACAACAATATAATAATGCTGCAACAATACAGTAACAGTATAATAGCATTAAAACAATAAATATAATATAAAAATACAAAAGAAGAAACTAAAGGGCAGTGAGAAAAAGCATGCAATCGTTGGCTGAAACTGCAAATGGTCTTTTAATATGGGTGCAATTTACTTTCAGGAAAACTTGCTTTAGTTGAAATAGCATAGCTGATTCCTTAACTTTTCTCCTCCTGTTTTGCTTCATGTGTTACTCCGTGTCCAGATTACTGGAAGACAAATTGTTCATGATGTTCTTTGACCGAGCACATTAAAGGCAAGCAGCCAAGGGGTTTTACATATCCTTCCAGTTGTTTCCATTATTAGATATCTAACAGCATCTCAGAAGCATAACTGATCCATTTAAAGTTCATTTGAGAGTAAATAATAATAATAATAATAATAATAATAATAATAATAATAATAATAGGTATGTTTGCCACATTGAGCTATTTATAAAGTCATAAAAGAATTTTTAAAAATCCAATAAATAAAAATAAATAGCGAACACTCCTCCACAAGCTTATTCTGAATATCAGAAAGTTATATGAGTAGTGATGAGGAGTTAAGTATATCACAGACAATTAACTAATATACTACTAGAAGTTTTCAAAATTAATTGTTATCTTCAAGTCTATACCAGATGACGAATATACTGGTCCTCTCTTGAGATGTAGTTGCCTACTTGGTGACTTAAATACCATTGTACATATGCCAGAGAGATACAGGTGCTCTTCCCTTTTTGTCAACCATGTAAATATTTCACTTTTCAGATATTCAAAGCAATCAATATTCCTCAAATTCGAAATCCCTCCTTGCCGCCATTGCAAGATTTGCCTGAATCCTACCGTACCAAGATTGCTCTTCTTGGAGCAGGACCTGCAAGTATAAGTTGTGCCACATTTTTGGCTCGAATGGGCTATTCAGACATCACCATTTTTGAAAAAGAAAACTACGTTGGTGGTTTAAGGTAATGTTTCATCATCACCATTTGAAATAAAGCATTCTGAAAAAAATCACGTAAATGTTATCGTATGTTCTTGAAAGAACATTTTTTTTTTTACTTTTTTAAAATAATAGTTTTTAAAATAATACTGTGACTGATGTTTTTGCTGTGTAAATTTATATGGTGCTTTATAGTCTCTGAAACAACGAATCACTACGTAAATGTTTAGAAAAAACAGGAATTACTATATTTAACATACATACATCTAAATTTTAAGTGTGGAAATTTTCATTTTTCAGTAGAATAAGTTCATCAAAGTTTCATTTAAGTCAGTGGTTCTCAACATTTTTAATGCCGCGACCCCCAACCGGTCGTAAGTCGAGGACTACCCAACCGGTTGTAAGTCGAGGACTACCCAACCAGTTGTAAGACGAGGACTTTCCCTGCCCGGGAGCGCCACGCATGCATGGTGCCGCCCCCTGCGCCGGCCGAGGCGTAGCTGACAAGTGGCAGAGACGGAGCAGGCCGACCACCGGTTGGGCCACCAGCTGCCCAGCCCAAGGGAGGTAAGGCACCCGCTGGGCCCCACGCACGCCAGCAACCCTCCCTGCGCCCGCCAGCCTCCCACCTCCCACCACTGGCCCTCTTTTACTTACATTTTTAGTAGTTGCTCAGTAGGGAGGGGTGGAAGCTTCCAGACAGCTCGCCTTCGCTGCAGACAACTTGCAGCACCGTTTGCAGAATGGGACTTTTGGCGGGCTCAGCAGGGCAGAGACAGCCTGGACAATTCCTATTGGCTTTTGAAAGCCAATAGAATTAGACTCTATTCAAGAGAGTCTATTCTATTGGTTTTCAAAAGCCAATAGAATATAAGGGAGTAGCACAGCTAAGGAAAAGGGGGAAAAATGGTGGACTGAGTTGTTTGGCGACCCCCGTGACATGGTCGTTCGACCCCAAATGGGGTCGTGACCCACAGGTTGAGAACCACTGATTTATGTGTACTTATATCTTAATTTTGAAAGGTTTTTTAAAACAAGTATTTATTTACCACCTAAATTATTTTATGTGTAACATGTATATTATAATGATAACCTTTAGCACCAATTGCAGAATGTTCTCCAGTAAAATTTTGTGAATACCAAGTCAGATGGATGAATAGATCTCCAGCCCAACAAAATCTAATGAAGTTAATTCCTAGTCTTACTTTTCTCTTTGGGATGGTTGTGTGACAGTAAAGTCTTGTTTAACACAGTTGGGAATTGGCACTTGTTACCAATTTTCTGAACTAAAACTCATGTGTCTACTGGTACTATCGTGCATTTCAATTTTCAGCCATTAATCCAATTTTTTTTTAAAACCATCTGTCTGCCAATGAATTCAGGGAGGCAGGAACTCAGTCTCTGAATGGTGTCTGATATGATCTGATGATCAGCAATCAATATGGGGAAGGTTTGGTAGATCATCCATGGCAGTTAGAAGACTATAGTTTGAAAAGCACTAAATGGATATGATTTGGTATTCTGGTAAACATAAGCTATCATCAAATCAGATATATATGGAAAATAATACATTTGGTCATTTAAATTTATTATAAGTTAGAATTTTGGCTTGCTATTTTTTTATATGTTCATATACTTATAGGTTTCAGGATAATTTACAAATCCAAAGCATTAAGTAAAATCTTATTACAGTCAAAAACCTGGAAAATTATTAGGAAGAGAAAGATAAGTCTTTTTAACAAGGTTTTTGCAACTTCTATGTTAATCTGCTTAAAGTGGCTTTTTTCAGTGGGCTACAAAATATTTGTTTTTAGAGTAGAAAATTGGATTAGGCAGTTAATAGATATTTGGACAAGAAAAAAACCCAAAATACTCTCTCAGTCCAGTTTCTGTTATGTAGAGTAGTAGACAATTTTAATAAACTCTAGTTCAGTGGTTCTCATCTGTGGGTCGGGACCCCATTTGGGGTAGAACAACCATTTCACGGGGGTCGCCAAACAACGCAGTCCACCATTTTTCCCCCTTTTCCTTAGCTGTGCTACTCCCTTATATTCTATTGGCTTTTGAAAGCCAATAGAATAGATTCTCTTGAATAGAGTCTAATTCTATTGGCTTTCAAAAGCCAATAGGAATTGTCCGGGCTGTCTCTGCCCTGCTGAGCCCGCCAAAAGTCCCATTCTGCAAACGGTGCTGCACCAGTTGAGTAGTCCTCGACTTATGACCGGTTGAGTAGTCCTCGACTTACGACCGGTTGGAGGTCGTGGCATTAAAAAGGTTGAGAACCACTGCTCTAGTTGCTTGTTATTATTCTGTGTCATTATTTTGCTTTATACTTGCAACTACATTTACTTATTGTGGAGTTTTTGAACAAGTTATTGAGATTATGCAGATAATGGTTTATAGGTTTATAGCAACCCTCTGTAAGTTCTAAAAAAAGTCCAACCCAGTTTTTTAACTAATGTTTTCTTCTGTCGGCTTGTTCCCCACTCAGCAATTTGGGCCCTATTTTGTCCAGCTTTTGGAGATTTATCTTGCTGATGGACAGATTTATCCTTTTCATGCCACTTGGTAGACAAGATTAAAAGGGATTTTGGTCTTCTTGCACTCTTAAATATAAACTTACATATGCCATTCTTTGATTCTTTTATTCCATTTTAACCATTTTAAAAAGCTTTCAACATGTTTGTCTCCCATTCACAACGTTAGTGAGAGGCAGACAGTATAATGCTAGATACCTTCGTTGCCCAGCTACCATCCTGTTTCATTTGAATCTTATTTTGTTTCAAATACGCCTTTGACTAAAAAGAATTAAATGGAAATTGACATGCTGAGGGGAAAAAACCCCAGTGTCTAGCATATGTTTTATTTCCTAAAGCTTACACAGTGTACATCAGATTTTTTGGAAAGGTATCCCACATCAGAAAAGCCAATTTGGTCTAGTGGTTAAGGCATCAGGTTAGAAACCAGGAGATAGTGAATTCTAGTCCCACCTTTGGCATGTAAGAGGGCTGGATTACCTTGGGCCAATCATTCTCTCTCAGCCCAACCCACCACACAGAGTTGTTGTGGGGAAAGTAGGAGGAGGAAGCAGCACTAGATATGTTCACTACCTTAAATTATTTATAAAAATAATAAAGGCGGGAAAATTTGTTTATTTATTATTAAATTTATATGCCGCCCATTTCATGGTTCAATAAATCAATGGGTATTTATTGAATGGCCACAGATATAATGCAGCCATTTTGTGATATGCTTTCCATATTTCAGATAGACTTCCTTGTCCCAAATATTCCCAACTTGCCGTAAGACTTAATATGGTTATCCCTTGTGGATAGCATTAAGTTGCCTTCAATGCAGCTGAATGCAAGTCTATTCCATTCTTTATCTTAATTAATTTAATTCAATTTAATTCCATTCCACTTAAAACAAATTTGTTTTATCCAAAATTAAATAAATAATTGGCATTTATTGTTTACTTAAATATATTTTAATTTACACAATACATTTTGAACATATTTATTTATTTATTTATTTATGAGACTTATATACCGCTTTAAGTGCAAGCACTCTCTAAGCGGTGTACACCAGTAAGCAATGTATATATATATTTACATTGCCCCCAACAATCTGGGTCCTCATTTTACCTACCTCGGAAGGATGGAAGGCTGAGTCAACCTTGAGCCGGTGAGATTTGTCCCTGAAATCTGTATTTTCAGCAGCAGTCATGACACATTTTGGGGTCAAGAATGCTGTGATAGAATTTATCCATCTATGAAAGTCGATAGGATAATCTATAGTTTAGTTTAGGTATCAAATTGACTTGCTTAACAATTCCGACCAAGAAAAAGGCCTACTTGCATAGATATTTTCTCAGCAAGAAGCTCCATAATTTAGGAGCGTGCTTGGTCATATTTGTGTGTTTGTGACTTTAACTTAAGTTTCTTCTTGGTTTTTTTATTTGTTTTTAGCATGTATTATTTCCAAGAAGCTCTCTCTCTTGAGAAAATGGCTGAGAAGTGTTTCATTGGCTTTGTTTTATTTGTTCTCTCCAGCACATCTGAAATTCCCCAGTTCCGGCTACCATATGATGTAGTACATTTTGAAACTAGGCTTATGAAGGACCTCGGAGTGAAGGTAATGAAAAATATAAACTGCCTTCGTATAGCTCACAGAAAAAGGAGCCAGAGCACTGTTAAAGATGAACAGCAAAATGTCATGGACCTTAGTAAAGAACAATTAAAAGCTACACTAGGCTGAGGAAGGAAGATGCTTTCCCTTGCTTGCGGCATTTGTCTGTCTGCTGTCTGAATGCCACTAGTTGGGAAAAGGGCAATCAATAGCTCATCTGGCTTGCCTGCATGTGATTAATTGTCTGTAAGAAACAAATACCTAAATTGCTTTAGGGGTTCAGTGTAGCTATTGCAAGGATTTTATTTCTTTAATCATGGGTGGCTGTTGCTGCTTTTTTTCCCATTTGACTTTTCCTTTCACAGATTAAATTTTAGGTAAAAAATTAATCCAGGATATTTTTTGTCCGTGTGTGTGTGTGTGTGTGTGTGTGTGTGTGTGTGTGTGTGTATTTTGTAAACACACCGTTCATACAATTCTTTTGCACATGTTAATAAAAAGAACTAAAATAGGAATTAACATTAATTATAGTTAAACTTCCCTAAAAAGAAGCAATGTGGTATGTCTTGTGATGAAAGTTTTTAAACTTTAGATTTTAGACGGCTTTTGATTGTAACAGTCTGCCCTTAAATGACAGTATAAACTGGGTGATAAAATTATTAAAAGCAACCCGTATGTTGATACTTACAATCTTACAAGTACGTTTTACTTACAATCATTTTGGCCCTTAGGCTTCAAATTATGTGCATGCAGGTGAAGAATATTATACTGTCTTGCACATAGGGTGCTGTTATTTTTGTCTATAATTCTTTTCTGGAAATATTTTGAGAATTTAAAATTTGCAAGACTAGGCTAAATAATACGATAGCCTTGTTTTTCCATTGCATATAAATATAACGCACAGCACTGTATAAGAAAAAGTATAATGTGCTTTGTTCAAAATAGCCTGCACTGGTTGGCATTTGCTTATGAGGCAACAATTTAAAGTCTTGGCCTTAATCTTTAAATATTAGGGTTTGATTAACCAGTGTACTACATTTCCTGTTGCAAACCTCTTTGGCAGATGAAGGAAGGACTCTTTTGAAGAAACTCCCACTGCAGTGGTTCTTGACATATGGTCCGGGGACCTTGGGGGGTCTGCGAAGGCTTGAAGAATTGTTAAAATTTAAATTTTGAATTAAGTCTTGGGGGCCCATGGCCATAGTACATGGCCACAAAAGATATTTAAGGAAGGGATGTCTGTTGTGAAGAAAAGGTTGAGAACTGCTGTTCTACTGCATTATGCCCAAGATATAAAATGTATTTTCTTGGGAATTGCATGAGTTCCTCCCTCTCCCCACAATACTTAGAAATTCTATAAAGAAGGATACGTACTGCTTTTTATTCTTTAGGTTTTATGCTCTCCCTTAAATACTTGTCAGAGTAGTAAAGTGTGACCTAAATCAAATATTTATCTATTTATAAATAAATAGTAACTATTTATAATTTAAGTATTTTTCTCAAAAAAATTACAAAAAAATAAACACATTGAAATTACTACAGTTAGAACATCCTTTAAAACAAGGTTTGGAGAAGAAATTTATATTCTAGATTCTGAAAAAAAAAGTATTTCTGTGAAAGGAATTCATGAAGTGAACGCCATCTCTCTGATAGCCTATCTGAGATTGTGGAGGTACCTGAAGACCGCTTTTGAATATGACCTTAATATATGATAGGGCACGGGTGTCAAACTCACCACGTCATGTGACGAGATGCGACGTATCGCGACTCTTTTTGTATTGCTGGCAATGGGGTGAGCGCAGCTTCAGTATGATGAAACCGGCCCACGGGCCGGCAGCTTAAGGCCCCTGTGATAGGATGACACAGGAACAAGCGTTCCTTCATGTCTGTGAAACTCAAGTCACACTGATTTTGCGGTTAAGTACAAAACTTCAGTTGCATTCAGAAATAGCTGATACTGAAACCCTTTAAGGAGTTTTCGCAATATGTTTTCCAATCACTGTGGCACAGATCCAGGTCTATGATCATCTTTTAAAGGTTATGTTGACTTTAAGTGGACCATTATGTCCTTGCATAATCAACTGAATGACCAAAACAAAGCTTCTTAATTTGATCTTGTATGTATGTGTGATGGGAAGCTATAAAAATCAGATAAATAAATAGTGTTTTAGCTGTTTTTATAGTTTTTTTAACTCTTAAATACTTGTTAACAATTTGAGATATTTATTATTTTTATCCTATTGTACGCCACCCAAAGTCACTTACTTGTGTGGCTACATAAATCAGTAAATAAATTTACCTAGATTAATTTCTTTATTTAAATTAGAAAAATAAATTTTAAAAGTGACTGGAAAACTTACAGAGACCTTCCCAATATTATCTTTCAGATCATCTGTGGAACAGGCCTTTCAGTGGAAGGACTGACACTCAGTGCTTTAAAGGATGATGGTTTTAAAGCAATCTTTATTGGAATTGGTAGGAATTCCTTTTTCTTTTTATACTTGCTTTTGCAGGAACTATTGTATCATGAATTCTGTCTTAGCAAGTGATACACAGTACTTGGTTTTTATTAATTTCCTATCTACTTTTAATCAGACTTAATTTGAAAATGACCAGTTTTCCTACATGAAATGTTTATTTATTTGTTAAATTGTGATTATGCCAGTGTTACTGCAGGAGTTTAAGGTGGACTTAGAGAGAGGACTGGCTGAAAGTCACTAAATGAATTTCCATAGCTGAAGATTAAATTGAAGCTGAGTCTCCCCAAAGCTAATCCAACTTCTTAATCACTAAAACCAACTGATTCTCAGTGTGTGTTTCGTTGGAATGATGAAATTATGAAATAACATTAACAGATGCTATGTTGCATTAGGAACAGAGTTAATAAAATCTGAATCAATATGTTCCAGTACAATTATCACATTCCTAAGGAGTGCTTTATTTAATAGATGTCACTAATTTGAGTCAAAATCTCAATATAATCATTAAGTAACAGAATTCCTTAGGGCACTTATTTATGCTAAATTAATGTCATCAGATTGCAGAATCAACATTGTCTCAACAACCTCTGCCTCTGTTTATCTGTTTGTCTATGTATTCTTTAGCCGTTAACCAAATAGTATGGTCAAATGGATTTTTTTAGTATATACAGAATTAACTGTAACTCCAGGAGATAATTATTTAGGTTTACTTTGCAGTTCACTAATTTATTTTAGAAGCATATATACAAAACTGCTTTTCAAGCATTCAATTTAAAAGGGTTTTTTGGAAGAAAAGAAATAATGAAAAATTGGTGTTAAATATTTGATATGTTAAATCCATAAACTTGTTTGATTTTTAAAAAATACTATTTTAATGCGTGCGGTTCAGAAAAACAGATGACTAGCATTATCTTGAAGTGATATCCTTCATATAGATGGAATAACTCTCCTAATGTAATGCTAGGTATGGTGTGATCTAAACCTGGTGAACGCTTTTTGCTCAAGCAATATTATTTCACTGAGATTTTTTTCAGTTCTTTAACCTAGTTATTAATTCATTACTTGAATTTATCCCATACGGAGATAGGAGAAAGCTCCTTCTCTAAAAAGTGTTGAATCTCTTGATGGCTAATGTTTATTCTGGTGGAGTGGGATGGCTGATTTCCCTGATTAACAAGGATAACTTCCAATCTACCTGGAAGATAGAAAAATATGGGCAAAATACAACTTCTCTAGTGAGGCAGTATAGAAAATGAACACTGAAGAAGAAGAAAAATCTTGATATAGGGTTGTATGAAGATATTAACATGAGGCAACTTAAGGCAGCTTAAATCTTGAAGCCTTACCTTTGTTACTAATCCATCTGATTCCTGCCAGTCCTTAACAAATTATATACATTGTAGAGCATTTGTCTCAGCTAGGTTTGGTGCATTGCCTTCAGCTATTATTGATGGTAAATACTGAAAAATTTCTTTGTCTGCATCCCTTTGCCCATGGGACTTCCTTACTACAGAGGACAACACATCCTATTAGACTGCAATTTCTACAGAAACATACCGTACTTGATAAGTTCACTAGGTTTCTCATAAAAGAATATCCAGGCAGAGATGATGTTCAGTATGCCTACTTTCTTCTGCTAGGCTGTAAGAGCACTGTTGCTTACAGGTAGCCAAATTCTGTCTGGCTGCTATGAGAGTGAGGCAACAGATTCTACTAAAGGAATTGAATTCTTGTCACTTGGAAAGTTAACTTTGTCCCCGTCTAAGACAGTAATAAATCTAATGCTATGTTATGCTGTTGCAAGGCTCATAATATATGTTAGTTTTGTGGAACATTGTCACCGCTTGCCTTTTACAGAAGCAACTCTGAATATATGAGCTTAATAAAAGAGTTAAGATCTCTTTGGATCTCAACTTTTTTAAAAAATTCACATTTTTGTTCAGGTGATGTTAGACAATAGCTTTCAGTTCACATAGTACCTATCTCCAAAGTGTATAGGAAAGATCTTGACCTAAGATATTGCATACTTATATTTTACAAGCAAATTTCATTAAGATACCATTTGTAACTGTTTGACATCCAGATAGTTCTCAACTTACAACCACTCATTTAGTGGCCATTCAAAATTATAATGGCACTGAGAAAAGTATCTTATGACTGTTTTTCATACTTAAGACCTTTGCAGCATCCCCCTGTGATCAAAATTCGGGTGCTTGGCAACTGGCGTGCATTTATGGCATGTCATTGCCTTTTGTGACCTTCTGACAAATAAAGTCAAGGGGAATCCAGATTCACTTAACCATGTTACTAACTTAGCAACTGCAGTGATTTACTTAACAACTGTGGCAAGGAAGGTCATGAAATGGGGCAAAACTCACTTTACAACTGTCTTGAAACAGAAATTTTGGGGTCAGTTCTGGTCGTAAGTCGAGGACTACCTATATAGTTGATCTATTTTGGTTGTTATTTTCATCTCAGTCAAGTGATTGATCAGATTTTCAGCAGGAAGGTAGCTTTCCAGTCTTAAAATGCCTTTGATTTGACAGAGAAATAATGTTTTTCACTCCAAAACTGCCTTTGGTTTAAATCTTAGTGGACATACAGTATTCATGCTTAATAGTCCTATATCACTCTGGTTATATTGTCTCCTTTCTTGAAGGTAAAATTTAGCCATCTATACAACAATCTGCAGCAAATAATAATGCTACTTTAGCGGAACGTTTTCTTCCCATTTTTGCAAGTTTGTAGAGATTTGTTTGGCATTTAAACGATGACTCTGCAAATGATGTGCATATTTATCTGCTAAGGAATGTGAATGTACCACCAAATCCCTCCTCAGCATACACTGGGCAAATTGAGTATGCACAGCCAAGAGAGGTATGAAGCTTAATGCTCTTTATTGATCTAGACGTTGCCTAAGTGAACATAATAAGAAACAAGTTGCCCAACTGTTCTTTTTTTCTTGTTATTGATTACAAGAGTGGTAATTCTGAGTACAGCAACAACTGTTGTTCTCCATCTGGGTATTCAGTATAATAAGCTTTGCAGGTTTGTTCTCTCATGTGATTATACTACAGACTATTGTGATTTATATAATCCTAAATCCGTTCATTGTTTGAGGCCTTCCATGCGTACAAATTTCCATGGGGTCATATTTCTTGATAATTGTACATGAGGCAATGTGCCAGGTTACCATCCCTCTTGATTTAATCCATTTGACAAGCCATGTACCTTTCATTCTTCCTTATACCCTTTGCTTGGGGAAGAAATTAGATAGAATCCTATCTATAACCAAGAGCTAAGCTAAACTGCGCACCATGTTTTTTTATGTATTGAGATTATTCAGATAAGTAACACTTGGAAATGTGTTAGAGTTGCATCGCAAGGGAAAAAATATTGTCAAGGAAATGCAGAAATCAAAAGCTCAGTTTCTTTTCATTATTTTGTCCTAAACCTGACCTAGTTATAATAAACTACACTTACGAAGTCAAAATTTGGTCTTCTGAGCTTTGGGTTGACAACAACTTTTCAGGAATTTGTTTGAGAATCCATTTCACTATTCAATACTACCACTCCACCTTGACAGGCCAAGGAATAAAATTGCATGTAAATTATGGGATTTTGTGCATGTGAATATTGGTCCTACTTTTGAGCTGAAGCATTTTTATATCTAGCACTTATACTGCAGCAAGGAAATCAGACAGTTTGACTTTAACTATAAGTTAATATTTTTGTAGACCACTCAGAGTCCCCCTGAGGGAGATTTTAAAAAGTGATTGGTTAATTAATTAATTCTAGTTAACTTTTATTATATAAGGAACAGCTTTCCCCAGTTTGAATTTTCTCAACCATATTACAGGTTTTCTAGAAAATATCATGAGTGATGTTTTTTTGCCTGACTTTTTGGTTTCCCTTTGCGTGTATTGGTGGTACAAGTTCCAGAGTCCTTAGCAGCAAAATCCCTATCTGTGACATGACAGTAGTAGTTAAAAATCCCTACTCTGACATAACAAAATAGAAATGCCATAATGAAAAGCATGGTGTCTCTGAATATCTAGAAAAAGGAATGGTGTCAAACATTCCATACTGGGAATCTACAGTAAATCTCATTGTCCGGAACTTATGTGACTTAATTTGCTGCTAGGATTGGTTTGTTCTGAAATCTCCCAGAACCAGGGCAGTACACGGCACTCTAAATAAGAAACTTTACTGCAACTAAGCTGAAGTATCATTGAATAGCTGATTGTCAGCCCCAGGAATCATTTCCACATATACCCACATATACCATGCGGTTTAAATATATTGTCCCTTCTTCCATTTTTTTTCCTATATTCTAATGGACTTCATGGCTTTGAAACCCAGGGACTGTTGATTGTTGACAGGACTGCTGTCTTTGTCCTGAGAACCTCTGGATCTCAATTTATCTTTCGTAGACAGGTAGTTATTGTGAACTCGAGTCCAAACTAAAGTATTATGAACTAAGGCAGAGGTGAAAATCAAGATCTATAAAATTCAGGGTGAACCACATTATTTCAAGTACTGAGTTATCACATAGGTGGCTTTCTTTGTTGCTGGCATTAAATAATACCATGCTTGCTACCTATGGTTAAAGATGCTAAATTTATCAGCTGGAAAACTGACAGCCTGGGTTCAAGATCCAAGCACCGTGCAACTGGGTGAGCTCCCGTTCCTTGCCCCAGCTCCTGCCCGCCTAGCAGTTTGAAAGCTTGCAAATGAAAGTAGATTAATAGGTACCGCTTCGGTGGAAAGGTGACAATGTTCCATGTGCCTTTGACGTATAGTTATGCTGGCCACATGACCACATAAAATGCTGGCTCTCTTGGCCAAGAAACAGAGATGAGCACTGTGCCCTAGAGTCGGACACAACTGGAAACCTTTTACCTTTACCTTTTGCTACCTAAACCACTTAACCATTGCAGTCTAAACTATGTAGGTTAGAGTCTACAAATTAGCTATCAAAGATTCTAATTGGCA